GATTATTTTCACCGCCACACCCGACAACACTAATGTGCCATGGTGCAGTTTTTGCAAATCACTCTGTCTGAATAATTGACACTCTGCAGCTACAGCACCACACCCTCTTTGTTTGTCTCTTTTTATGTGTTTCTCTTTGTGTTTTTTTGTTTTTTTGGCAAATATGATTTAAAAATAGACAACTGGTGAGCAAATAATGCAAATGTGGATCTTTACCATTGCTGAGGTTTTTAAAGGAGTGGAATCCTGACGGGCTGGCAAAAACAAGTGACCCATAAGAAATTAATCTAACTAAATGATTCAGGGACATTAAATAGACAGAGCTTACCACCACTACTGTGTAATCATGTATACTTTTACTTTGTAAGAACCAATTAAATGTTGTACAGTACACAATATTGCAACTTATATTTAAGCAAAGCTAGACATACATATATTATTGGCCTTTCCAGGTTTTTCTTTAGGACAAAACATTCTAACTGCTTACAAGAGGAAGTGATGAGAAAGACATGGTTCTAAAATATAGGATCTTCCTTCAATCTGCAAAATCTGCATACTGTAGGTCTCTGTTAGTCACCTTCAGTACACACCTGTGTTGAGCAAACCTGTGTTGCGGCAAACCAGAGACTTGACCTAAAACACTTGTTACTTAATATGGTCACTAAAACAGATTCTAGTTATTCTATCAATACCATTAAATCCTATTACTGTAGTATATGTCATTTAAACCAAAGTTTCTGGTTCCCTCCTCGAAAAAATCCCAACTATTCTACGAGAAAATTTAAAAAAACTGTTCACTTCTTTTTTGAGCGTTACCTAAAAATACTATCCCCAAAACATAACATATTGATGTCCATATTTAGCAAAACTCCAGATTCTACTCACATTTATATAGGTACAGGTACACAAAACCCAGTAATGTAGTGCATTAAACCTTAACTATATTAGCATAAAATGATGTGCTAAAATGCATGAATCTGTATATTCCATTCCCTTCCTGACAGTTTTGTGTAAATTATCTAATTATACTGGGATATGATAATGTGTGTCACACTATTTTTGAGCTTTGAAATCCTTCTTATTTGTGCATTTTACATGTAAGAATGCTCAAATGGCGACCAAAGTGCTGAGGCCACTTTCTAATGGCTCAGTATGATGGCAAGGGCTGATTGTACTCACTGTTCACTCGAGGTCACTCAAATGAAGGAAGTGAGCTCTTGCTCTCCATTATATACCTCACTGCTGCCTGTTTCTCAGAACCCCATTTTGCACAGAAACAATGGGGAGTGGCTCATATAAATGTTTGAAAAGAACCTATGTGGGGACTGAAATTCTTATTTATATGCTGTTCTATTACAGCTTTCATGACTAATTATAGAGATGTTATTTTATTTCTCACACATTCATATAATTTAGAGAAAATAGTACTGAAAGTTTTAATCAAACAGTCCTATGTTACTAGTATCATTTTCCAAAACACAGCTCTGATCCAATACAGACTTTTCCTTCTTGTCCAAATTGTTTAGTTAAATGTATTGTCCTAGTTATTTTGAAAACATTTGAGAAATAAAAGCACCATGTTTAGAACTTTGCTCAAAATATCATTACACATACCATGCAACATGTAATTCACATTGTACAAGTATGCAATAAATACTTGGTAGTGGTATGAGTCTGTTATATCATATGGACTTGAGTTACTCTGACTCACTCTGACTCTCTTATGTAGTGATCCAGTTCATTTGGGTCACTTGTTGCCAACCCACTAACCTTTCACTGAGGATCCGCATATACATTATTCAGACACCAGTTACATATTTTAAAATTACATATGCTAAAAAACAACAAAACATAAATACCTTCAATACACACACAAAAATGTAACATGTGCAAAGTGAAACCAAAATCAAGTTATGTAAGATAGAAAATATCAAGAAATGAAACAGCAGTGTGTTTAACTATGTGTTTCTTCCAATATATAACTTATATAACTTCCTTTGTGTAATTAAGCCTTGAAATGCTCCTGAGCCCTGAATTTCTAAGATGCAGCAGTCCTGATGTGGATGGTTTCTCAAAATGTCCAATGCTTGTTTTTTTCCAAATCTGGAGTCTGGACTAGTACAGAGTCCATTCATCTGTTACTGCCCTTATCAAAAAACATGTTAAAATTATTAAGCAGCAAAGGCATGTTTCTGCCTTTTATTTGTTTTCCTACAGAAAGTAGGCAGTGACAAGAACACAGTGTGTTGAAAACATCAAGATTTCACCTTCATGGTGTTATTACAGATGAGAAATATTGCACTTGTGGTAAACACATTTGTCAGGAGTTATTTAAAATGTATCAACAGTTACATGTGTAGAAAAACCATTAAGCTTGAATAATGATAATTACTGCCCTTGGAGCAACATGCTGTTTATTCATCACTGTCAGAAAAATCTGACTTATGCATTCATTTAACCTGTAACAGCCTCACTTATTTATTTAAAAAGTTGACTTAGGTAGTCAACCAATTGTCCATTCTTCCCACACAGTATGAGGAATTCACTCTGATTTTAGATTGCACTCTGCTGCCCCTGGAACAGACTTGTCCCTCATTTTGGACTCAATTCCTGCAATTCACTAATACTAATGTATTTATCCAAATGCTCAGCTACTTCTTGCCTTCAAAGTGCTGTTTTATGAGATGCTTTTATGTCATATTAAAATGTCATAAAAATGTTTAAACAAGATAGGGCCTTGGGTTTTAACCTATCCAATGTTTTTAAACTCCGAACCTCATTTGTTTTTGCATTTGTTCAATGAAATCATCTAAACTGGTCAGACTAACATCTGTACCTCTGCTTGTATATTTTCTATTTCCTGCAATTCTGTTTTCTTCTATGCTTTTGTATTTCGAACAAAAGCCAGACGGTCACTTTAGTTCTGAGTTTTATTTTTTATATTTCTATTTCCAACAAGGGACAATACAAAACTGCACAAAGACGTCTTCGTAGCCTTCAAAAAATCCTCATTATCCAAGTTTGTCATACATCAAAGGATGGACTTTATTACACTGATTTGTTCCAGTAATAGGGTTAAAGGATTCTGGGAGAATGAGTCTAAGCTATTTTCTTCCTTCTCTTTCCTCTTAGAAAAGATTCTTGTTGTTTTTTATGTTTTGTTTATCTCCCTCTGAGTTTTGTCTGAATGGCTATGTTCTCTATAATACCATATAAAAGTTTCTTTGTGAGATTGGTGTATATTGTTTTCTTTGTGTTACTTCTAACAGGTTTTGTATTCAGGTAGTATATGTTAAAATGTCTTTGTTACTTCATGATTTATGAAGCGTTTTAATACACGAGTGGGTGGTGCTTTCAAAGCAGATAGCCTTAGCCACTACAGTAAATACAAATAATAAAATAATATTAATAAAGAGAATAGTTTAGAAATCATCTTTTGATGATGTGGAATATCCAGTCAACAGTCCATGCTGAAATGATTCTGACTTTTACCATTATTTTTTATTAAAAAATGTCAAACTCTTTCCTGAATAGAGACTGATTGACTTAACTCATGCAAGTACTAGAAGTACTTTGTGTTCTTGCGCTCTTCGTCGCCCCCTGCTGCCATTGCGTGGCCACTAAACTCCACAGTACTAATACCATCTAAATTAGCATTGTCTGTGCAGACAGACAAGTCCTTCTCTGTTGGTCTTTCATTTCCTAGTCCTAATAAATAAACAGTGTGCCAAGCATGGGTTTTAAAGTACATTTGTGATGCATCCATTTATGAAAAATAAAGAAAATTCATATGGGCAAACCAATATATGGTTGAAGACATATCCCAGATCACAGGTTATCTTTAGGTCAGGTATAAAGTCTTAATCCGTCCTATATTAGACAGCGCTGTTTCTCTATAGATTATGTTCCCTCCAACCATGTCCACTATAGATCGGTATTGAATCCTGTTGTCCACATTTACAGTGGATAACTAATCAAAGAGCCAGTGTTATGTCAAGAAATGACATGATGTTTATCCACAGCCTAGATTACACAATAATGTCCGCTGTTGACATTAACATATTTGGGATCGAAGGTCAGGTTGTCTGATTAGTACAGGCTGTAGTATAATACTACAGCCTGAAGTCTGTTGGCTTAGCTTAACATAATTAGAAGACATAAGACTGAAAACCTGGGAAAATGTCAGCCTGGCTCTCTCCAAAGGAAAAGAAAACACAAGTTACAATATATGAAAGGAAAGGAAAAAATGATTTGGGTTTTTGTGTTCCTCAACTATAATAATAATAATTATTTATATATATATATATATATATATGTATATATATGTATATGTATATATATATATGTATATATATATGTATATGTATATATATATATGTATATATATATACATATACATAACAGAAATTACTATAGTTGTCTTCCTGTTTATTTTGGAATTTTGCTGTGTTTACATTGAACCTACCAATACACTGAAGGAGGTAACAGGTTCAAAAGTTACCTTCATGTACATTCATGTATTTCAAATCAGCAACAATTGTGATTAGATCATAAAAACACTGAAAGAAAATCTTTCGGGAAGGTTACCAGCTACAACTTTATGCCAAAAAAGAAAAAAGAATGCAGGCTCAAAAGCTGATAGAGTGAATTGGACAAGTGTCAAGTTTGCACCGATGTCAGCAGCAATTTTCTTTTCCATGGTAACAGGAAAAAATTTAAACTGTCTGTTGAATAGAACTTAATACACCACAAATTTAATATGACATTATTCTCATTACACATAAGGATTTATTAGCGAAGTATTAGCTCATTAGATTATTAAGTAATTATCCAAAACACCAGTGTGACAGATTTATGTCACTGCTGACCTACAATCCCACACAGAACTCACACCTATTCCTGTTGCACCTGAGAAAGTATGAAAGCCGTGCACAGTAATTACCTTGCAGCAAACTCCATTACATTCATCTGTAATAATAATCACAAGTATAATGACCCTGATTTCCATTGTTAAACAAAGGGGGTCATTGGTGGTGTCACGGAGAAACTGTTAGAGCCAGATGAATGGACTCAGATATGTAGTCCAGGTTATTACCATTGATGGCACTCACATTCAGACAGCCGTCAGGGAGGAGGTACACGTGTCTGACCGCAGACAGAAATTCCACCTGGTGAGCTGTTGGACATTAAAAAAGAAAAACGCAAGAAGGAACATGAATAGGTTCAACCAGATTTTGCTTTTTGCTGTTCACCAGTCCATCACAGAGCCACATATGGATGACTTGTTGATAGTCTCATATATTTCACCATTTTAGTTTTTTATAGAACAGCCCCAGTATATCTTACAGTGAAAATCCAAAATAAATCGTTTATATTGTATTAAACTTGTGATCAACATATATATTTTTTTTAAATGAAAAGGTACATTGGGATATATGTGCACAGAGACCAGGTCAAAGTTTCCAACGTCAAAGTATACACCTGAAACAGAAAGACAAGGTGAGCGATCTGTGGAGTCAAACTTAACCATCAACTATTTAATAAGACTGTAATTATTTGAGTAATGTGATGATAATTCCAAAACTGAAAGGCTGATGTCCAGTAATGGGTTCAATGCCCTCGTGGTGCTTCGTCTTGGCTGCCATGCCACCTTTGCCAAATGTGTTTTGTGATTGGGGCTATAGAAATAAAATTAATGTGGTGGAGGGGTTTGAGTATCACCTAGGAGTGAACCTAGGAGCTATGTTGTCAGGGTCTCCCAAGGCAGACAGGTCCTAGGTGACGGATCAGACTAATAGCGGTTCAACATAGAACATGGAATGTCACCTCGCTGGGGGAAAAAGAGCCTGAGCTTGTGCGGGAGGTTGAATGATACCGACTAGATATAGTCGGGCTCACCTCCACGCACAGTTTGGGCTCTGGGACCCAACTCCTTGAGAGAGGCTGGACTCTCTTCTACTCTGGAGTTGCTCGCGGTGAGAGACGGCGTGCTGGCGTAGGCTTACTTATAGCTCCCCAGCTTGCCAGTCGTGTGTTGAAGTTCTCCCCACTGAGCGAGAGGGTCGCTTCCCTGCGCCTTCGGGTCAGGGATAAATGTCTCACTGTTGTTTCGACCTCTGGGTCCAATAGCAGTGTAGAATACCCGGCCTTCTTGCAGGCACTGGGATGGGTACTGGTCAGTGCTCCTCCCGGGGATTCCATTCCACCTCCGGCTTGGAACAGGTCCCGAGGGAAGCTGGAGACATTGAGTCTGAATGGACTATGTTCTCCACTTCCATTGTTGGCGCGGCTGTCCGAGGGCTCCGGTGCCTGTTGTGGCGGCAATCCCTGAACCTGAGGGTGCACACCGGAGGTAAGGGATGTCGCCAAGCTGAAGAAGGAGTCCTACCGAGCCTGGTTGGTTCGTAGGACTCCTGAGGCCAAGCGAATTGCAGCTCGGGTAGTCGCAGAAGCCAAAACTCGGGCTGAGAAAAGTTTGGGGAGGCCATGGAGGAGGACAACCGGTTGGCCTCAAAACAATTCTGGCAAATCATCCGGAGCCTCAGGAAAGGGAAGCAGTTTCCCACCACTGCTGTTTACAGCGGGGGGTGGAGGGGAGCTGTTGACCTCGACTGAGGATGTAGTCAAGAGGTGGAAGGAATACTTTGAGGATCTCCTCAATCCCACTGACATGCCTTCCGTGGAGGGAGCTGAAGCTGAGGACTCAGCAGCTGATCCTCGCATCTCCTGCGCTGAGGTCACCGAGGCAGTCAAAAAGCTGCTCGGTGGAAAGGCGCCGGGGGTGGATGAGATCCGCCCTGAGTACCTCAAGTCGCTGGAAGTTGTGAGGCTGTCTTGGTTGACACGTCTCTGGAGCATTGCGTGGCAGTCTGGGACTGTATCCCTGGACTGGCAGACCGGGGTGGTGGTCCCTCTTTTCAAAAAGGGGGACTGGAGGGTGTGTTCCAACTATCAGGGATCACACTCCTCAGCCTCCTGGGAAAAGTCTATTCCAGGGTACTGGCTGTTGTCGGCCGGGTGTAAAGCCGCTGGGATGAGAATTAGCACCTCTAAGTCCGAGGCCAAGGAAAATATTGCATCTGTGGTACTCTTCATGCCTAGGAAGAGTACCACAGATGCAATATTTGCCTTGAGGATGCTGATGGAGAAGTACAGGGAAGGTCAGAAGGAGCTACATTGTGTATTTGTAGATCTAGAAAAGGCATATGACAAAGTGCCAAGGGAGGAATTGTGGTTTTGTATGAGGAAGTCAGGAGTGGCAGAGACGTATGTTAGTTTGGTGCAGGACATGTATGAGAATAATACAACAGTAGTGAGGTGTGCTGTTGGGAGGACAGAAGACTTAAAGGTGAAGGTGGGACTACATCAAAGATCGGCCCTGAGCCTCTTCTTGTTTGCTGTGGTGATGGAGAGATTGACAGATGAGGTCAGACAGGAGTCCCCATGGACTGTTGTTTGCAGATGACATTGTGAGAGTAGGCAGCAGCTAGAAGAGAACCTAGAGAAGTGAGAGTAGGCAGCAACTAGAAGGGAACCTAGAGAGGTGGAGGTTTGCCTGTTGTCGGCCGGGTGTAAAGCCGCTGGGATGAGAATTAGCACCTCTAAGTCCGAGGCCAAGGAAAATATTGCATCTGTGGTACTCTTCATGCCTAGGAAGAGTACCACAGATGCAATATTTGCCTTGAGGATGCTGATGGAGAAGTACAGGGAAGGTCAGAAGGAGCTACATTGTGTATTTGTAGATCTAGAAAAGGCATATGACAAAGTGCCAAGGGAGGAATTGTGGTTTTGTATGAGGAAGTCAGGAGTGACAGAGAAGTATGTTAGTTTGGTGCAGGACATGTATGAGAATAGTACAACAGTAGTGAGGTGTGCTGTTGGGAGGACAGAAGACTTCAAAGTGGAGGTGGGACTACATCAAGGATCGGCCCTGAGCCCCTTCTTGTTTGCTGTGGTGA